AAAGTGGAGCAGCCAGGACAAGAACCAGCGCCCACATGGAATGCTGATGCCACAGGCAGAGGACCAACCCCACTGTGCTACAGCACCAGCCCAAGCCATGCCTCTTGAAAGTGCTCATAGCCTCCCTTGCAGGTCAGTCATATCCCATTTACTTTTACTTCAATCTCATAAGAAACACCTGCCTATGAGATTGTGCCCTGGGCTTTCATGAGAGTGAAAGAGTTGGAGTGACAGACACCCAAGAGTGTCCAACTCCATGTGCTTGTGTGGAGGTTGGAGTTGGGGCATTGAGATATGGTGTGAGCATTGACAAAAGAGACTAAGAATGGAGGTGTTCCTGCTAGCATGCTTACCTTGAAAGAGGGAAGTCATCCTGTCTGCATGCAAACTCCCTGATTTTAACCCAATGGGGCATTTAACCCTGGGGAAGAGCTGCTTACCACTCCCAAGGATGGCATTGACAATGAGCTGGAGCTTGGACATGCAGGAAATTACATCCAGGGATTGACTGTTCACACAGGAGAAGGTCCAGTGAAGGACTTTAAGGCCCTGAGTGCAACAGTCATCAAAGACATTTACCTCTGTAGCAGCAGACCTCCATCTGTTTGTGGTGCAAGATGAGGTGGCTGGGCCTTGACTGTTAAGTCTCCTAGAGACAGACCCTACTAGTAAGCATGCAGGCATTGGACTTTGCTTGTTTCTTTAATCTGCTGGCTATGCTATTTATTTTATTTATTTATTATTTTTTTGACAGGCAGAGTTAGACAGAGAGAGAGACAGAGATAAAGTTCTTCCTTTTCCATTGGTTCACCCCCCAAATGGCCGCTGTGGCCAGTGCACTGCAGCTGGCGCACTGTGCCATTCTGAAACCAGGAGCCAGGTGCTTCCTCCTGGTCTCCCATGCAGGTACAGGGCCCAAGCACTTGGGCCATCCTCCACTGCCTTCCCAGGCCACAGCAGAGAGCTGGACTGGAAGAGGAGCAACCAGGACATAATCTGGTGCCCCGACTGGGACTAGAACCCAGGGTGTCTGCGCCACAGGCAGAGGATTAGCCTAGTGAGCCGTGGCCAGCTGGCTATGCTGTTTTGCATTATATTAGGCATGCTAAGAAAAAAAGCTTTTGGAATTTGCAGTCTCTCTAAGAGTTTTACGTGTCCTGTGTTTTCCAGAGAAGAGTCTTGCAGGTCCCACGGGCCCAGAGCCCCCACAGGACTGAATGTGCAACAAACCAATGTCTGCCTGTGTGGATGACATGAATGTGTGGCACATGTGCGAGTGTGGGGAAGTATAGATGTGATTTAAAGGCCTATAGGAAGAACACTAAAGGAGGAGCCAGAGAAAGGCCCCTAAAGTTATCTCCTTTTCTGTGAAAGGCAGAGCTGACTCATCCCAGTCCTGGAAGGAGTTGCAGTGTGAGATCTCAGCTGGACTGGGCAAGAGACCTAACATTGACCCTGAGGTCCCAAAGACTCCTCTCTGCAGAGAAGACTCCATTTGTGGTGGGGATCTGAGTACAGATCCATAGCCAGGACGATCGTCACTCATCAACTGATTGGGCTTAGGGTAGCCGCTGGCTAACATGTTTTTGTGTACTGACAGCAGCAGCAAGTACACTAACCTCTAGACACCCTCCTTAAGCCCACAGCACCATAGACCCTAAACTTTCTAGTCCTCCAGATGGAATCAGAAATCCCACCCCAGGGACCTCTCATTTTGTTCCAGAAGCCTCAATAACTGTCTCTCCACAGCTGAACTTCCTGATACCATCTTGTAGCAACTTGTAGTTTCATATCTTTGGACCCAAGCTTTGATTCAAAAGTCCCCTGATTCTCTAGGGGCCCCTAGCCCAAGACCAAACCCCAGCCATAGCTATATCTATAGCCTAATGGAATGCTGCTTGTCCTAGCTGACTGCTTGGCTATGCTGTTAGGAAAGGATGCTATGGAATTACATATATGTCTGCTAAGGGGCTAAAAGCATCCTTGTCCTTGGGGCTTCAGGGGCTCCTAAAGTTGTCTCTCCCACCCCACTTCAGGACTTGTGAGTTTGTCCCCCAGCAGTACTAGGACTGTGCTAAATTTGCCCTGGGTCAGGAGCAACCTTATAACACTCCCTCCACCAGGGAGAGAGAACATCAGTCCACCTTTGTCCCCAAGTCCATGGGCAAGTGGTCCTCACTGTGGATACTGTAATCTTCAGAACATGTCAGTTCACATCTCAATTTAAAAAGGGAAGTATAGCATATGGTGATGGCAGTTAATGTGCTGCTTGTGATGTAAGAATCCATATGGTTATGACTGTTGGCTACTCTGCTTTAGATCCAGCTTCCTGATTGTGTGCTCCCTGGGAGGCTGCAGATAATGGCTGGAGTATTTGAGTAGCTGTCACCCATTTGTAAGATCTGGAGGGGTTCCAGGCTCCTGGCTTCATCCTGGCACAGCCCTTGCCATTGTGGTCATTTGTGGGAGCAAACCAGTGGGATTTGAGGTCATTCTCTATTTCTTTCTGATATCCAAATAAATAAAAGAAATGAGTCTATGAAATGTATTGAAAAATTAATCATTGGAATTTAATAAAGAACAGGACCATACTGCAGTGACTCTAAGGGAACATACAAATGTTTCACTATGAGTTAAGTTGGACTAAAATATGCTGTAGCAGCAAACATTTCCCACATCTTAGTGAATTCCAAAGGAACTTTCTGTTTGTGTACAATGCACATCTGGCACAAACAAGAAAGTAGCCACTCCATCTAGTCCCTCAGGCAAAAGTGGGCTCCATCACCTAGAAACCAGTTGCCTCAATAGTAACTAGTTTAGATTTTCATTGTCTTAACCTGGAAGGCATGAACATATTTTTGATTTCTTAAATGTCACAGATTTCATGGACTATTTTAGAATTTCATATATAAGAAAAATAAAGCAAAATTTAAAAGTAGTAAACAAAGGGAGACTTAAAATTTTTTGAAAAGTACATGACTACAGGTAAATCTTAATATATACTAAATATGAATTAGGAAGTACATATTTAAACTCCTTGATGAAATAACAGCATGTAGAAATAAAAATGACACCTTTATAATTCAATAAGGTTTATCCAAAATTGTCAAGGAATATTGGGACATATGATAATACAATATTTGACTTTGAAAAGTCAGATAAAATAGTCAGATAAAATAGTTTACTAACCTGATTCTTGAATGGCCAAAATACATCTTACATTAGCCAAAATACATCTTACATTAGACAAAAACACAAGTAAATATCTTAGTGTGATAAAATATATTTACTAGAAAGCCAAGACACTCTGGCAAAAGATCTCTGTGAGTGAGATCTCAGTGGAAAGAACAGGTCTTCAAAGAAGGAGGTACCTTTCTCTGAAGGGAGGAGAGAACCTCCACTTTGACTATGACCTTGTCTAAACAAGATAAGAGTCGGAGAACTCAAGGGGCTTCCATAGCCTTGGAAACTCATGACTGGAGCATAGGGAGATTACTGATGCCATAGACAGGAGTGTCAATTGGTAAAGTCAACAACAGGAGTCACTGTGCACTTACTCCTCATGTAGGATCTCTGTCCTTAATGTGCTGTGCATTGAGATTTAATGCTATAATGAGTACTCAAATAATATATTTCACTTTGTGTTTCTATGGGGGTGCAAACTGTTGAAATCTTTACTTAATGCATACTAAACTGATCCTCTGTAAAAAAAAAAAAAAGAAAAGAAAAGAAAAGAAAAGAAAAGAAACTATCAACTCCCAACTTGACTCTCACTGGGATTAAACATGACAATAGGTCTGATCTGATTTCATCATCATTAAAAAAAATCATCTATTATTTTTCACTTTATGTTTCTGTGTGGGAGCAAACTGTTGAAATCCTTACTTAATGTATACTAAGCTGATCTTCTGTATATTAAGATAATCGAAAATGAATCTTGATGTGAATGGAAGGGGAGAGGGAGTGGGAAAGGGGAGGGATGTGGGTGGGACGGTATGGGGGGGAAGCCATAGTAATCCATTATTCGTACTTTGGAAACGTATATTCATTAAATAAAAGTTAAAAAAAAAATAAAAATAAATGATGTACTTAGCTAAAAAAAAATATATATATATATATTTACTAGAAACTACTTTTTTTTTTTTTTGATAGGCAGAGTTAGACAATGAGAGACAGAGAGAAAGGTCTTCCTTCCATTGGTTCATACTCCAAATGGCTGCTACAGCCGGAGCTATGCCAATCCGAAGCCAGGAGCCAGGTGCGGGGCCCAAGCACTTGGGCTATCCTCCACTGCCTTCCCAGGACACAGCAGAGAGCTGGACTGGAAGAGGAGCAACTGACACAGAATCTGGCACCCCAACCTGGATTAGAACCCAGGGTGCTGGCACCACAGGTGGAGGATTGGCCTAGTGAGCCATGGCACCTGCCTAGAAACTACTTTTCAATATTGTTATTAACAAATCAATGCATTCTATTTACATTATTATTGTATTTATTCACCTTTCACTAATTTATGAATGCTATGACTCTATTGGTGTTCTATTGTAGGTTAAAGTTTGTTTTCATCTCTAATAGCTACTGTTGTCATAGGTTTTTGCTTTATATTGGAGGGAGAAATATTAAAGTGCTTGAAGATGAAACCCAGTGATAGGAGAGAGTATACATTGGAAAAAGCAATCTCTAGAAGTGATAAGACAAGATATTAGATAATAAGAAATTGATAAAGTGTGCTTACAGCTGATATTTGGGAATAGATCAGGTCAAATTCAGATAACATTTTCAGAAAATAAATGAAAGAAACAATGACCTGTCAATTTGTAGTTTAGTGTTCATAAAAAAAAATCTGTGCCCAATGAAATTCTATTTGAAACAGAAGCATGGTCTCGATTTTGGAAACAAATAAGCAGGCAGAAAATGCCAAAATGCAATTTTCCAATATGAAAGAACAACTACAATGGAATAACTGAAAAAAATTCGTTCTAAAAAAACATCCCCAGCCTTCCTCTTCAGAAGTAGGGTAACTGGACACTCAATCAGTAGTTGCAACTGGTTCCTTTACTTTTATAAAAGAACAGACATTTAGTCATTCACCCACATAAGTATATAAATTTTCTTTTATTAACATAGGACTGGACTAGAGACCATGGTGGTAAAATGTCTCATGTTCAACTTTTGTTAAAGTTCAGGCAGCAAGATATATCTATATATAACAGCTTACAAATTCTGAGTTACTCCATATCTGCTATTGTTTCCTTGAATTAGGCCAAATGATTAGAAACCTGGCTACCTTGGTTGCTTCATTTCTCTCTCTACACAACTGTCATAGCACACCTATACTTTTGCACAATCATATTTTATAACATTGAAGGTTGTTGTAAAAGTGAAACAAAGAACTATCTTTTCACATCCTTAATTTTGTTTCAACTTTGAGCTCCATGTCTGAAATTTTTTTAACAAAGGCCCAGCAAATGATTTTTCTTCACTTCTGAGAAATTAGTGTATTTGGATCTATTAGTTAATGTGAATCCCACCTCTGAAAGTGAATCTATTTTGTTTCAGTAGAATCAGCAATTCATCTTTAACTCAGTAGGACTTTGGCTGATAAATCTAAATCTTCTGTTGCTTCTTCCTTTTGACTGTTTCTTCTCTTTGTATTTGTCATTTATTTTCTCCTACATTAGTTCATTCAAGACTCCTCATATCTTCTGTGAGGTCAGCTGGACTATAATTTAAAGAGATAAGGCAGAAAACTCTCCTAAATTATTTCATATTTTCCTGGATTAAAGGTGAGTATGTAGATAAAATATTCAATGGGTAAATGTGAATAAACATTATAAAAATAACATTTCTAGTACCAAGGCTACTTTTGAGGGACCTGAGGTAATATTTAGGGTTCAATAATTACTTTGTGGAGTAGTCTTGAAATATCGTATACTTGTACATTAGGAAAGTGCCTTCTCCCAGATAGCTCAGTATTCAGCAATGTTTGTACAGAAAACTTTCCTTCCACTTGCAAGTTTTCACCATCCAGTCTCTTACAATTTGCATAATATGGAAAAGTATGTAACACGTGACAGCAAGAGTAAGCCTTAGGCTGTGAAATTTGCACCTCACTCACTAATATTCTTGCAGAACTCTCAGCCTGTATCAATATTTCAAAGTTATAACAAGGTGTCCACCTGCTACTTATGTCGTACCTCAAAAATGTGATGACTCCTGAAATTCTGTAATTTCTTTGTATTGAAATATTTTCAGACATTGATTTACTTATTTTAAAAATAGGAAATAATGAGTTACATAGGTGTGCAGTAATATTTCTCTGGCTTGGAGCAAAATGGAGAAGAGATATTTATCAGGGTGATTTTGAAAATGAATTATTCCTGTTTAAGTGACAAGCCTACATTAGCTCCCCTAATTTGGACTGAAGTCACACATAAATAAATTTTAGCTGCTATTAATAAATGAACTTAATTCACTCTTTCTGTACATGACAGTTTGTTGTTTGTTTATTTGGAGTTTTACTGTTTTCAGGACTTTTAAAAATTTGTTTTCAAGGGTTCTTTGGGGAGGGGAATGTTTCTTTTATATTTTCAATTTAAAATTTTAATTAATTTTTAACAGATTCAATATAGTTTATAGATAAAATTATGAGAATAAAATGATATTCCCTTCTTCTCTCCCTGTCCACCTCCCTCCCCCTCTCCATCCCACCATCCTTCTCTCTCCCTTTCTTGCTTGCTTTCTCATTTTACACTTGGAGATAACATATTTTAAATTTACATAACAATAAAAGGCTTACTTATTCACCAAATGAGAAGTTTAACAAGTAAAAAGCAACCTAGTTTGGCAAGAATATAAGCAATGGCTATACACAGTAATTGAATGGAAAGAAGTGACCATTTCACTTATGTAAAGTGCATTTTAAAGCAATCACAGATCATGAAACTATAGTAGTATAATAGTCCTAACCACTGGTTTGGCAAAGCTAAAAAGCAACATTTTATAAAATTATATTTCCATCAATACTGATACACACAGGTATTTCTTGTTTTGTTTTTATTTTTTTGATGGGCTGATTTTTTTAGATAGAAACTTCTAGCAAATCCCTCCACCCCACTCCAATCAACCTTTTTGTTTCTGCTTTAAAACATAATGCAAAAAAATCCACAAACCCTGCTCTCTGTACCCAAGCCCTTCTATCAGGAAAGCTAGTCTACCTGTGAAGTCTCACACTGTCTTTGTAGTCAGATAACAGTAATAATGACAACAATAATAAATAGAACAAGACAACTGGAAAGTACTATTGGTGTTTACCAACTGATGTTTTTGTTTTGTGCAAGCTGCATGGAAAGGGCAGGAACCTGTGTATTTCAGGGCAGCACTTGAACCACAGAACCCACTGTGGTCATGGAACCAGAGACACCTGGCCCCCCTTCAGAATTCCACTCCAGCCAAGACCTCCACTGCAGTTCACTGGCAATGCTGTGTCTCCTGGATGCTGCTGCCACATCTGTCACACCCACACTTCCCTGCCTCTCCAGACTCTCCTCCCTTAGTGCTCTGGAGTAGAGGAGGAGGGGCACCCCAGGCAGGATGGCTAAGAGTTGGGATATGGAAACTGTGGCCTCATTCTGGCCCCAGGAGCCTTGCCTCCTCATGATCCTGTGTAGGGGCAGGGTGAGCTGGTATTTGCCCTTCCTCTTTTCTTCATCTTTCTTTTGAAAGATGGGCTGTTGACCAGAATTGCTTGTCAATGCTTTCGATAGGATGGAAAAACTTGGTCTAGCCATGGAAGTGGAGGGAGACCAGCAACCAAACAGATGTGGTTTCTGCTCTTGTATATTATTTTTGAGTACTCACAAACTCCATGGTGGAGGCTGTCTCTTGCCAGAAAGTGCATGTTGGGGGCCCTCACCTGCCCTCACATTGAAGCCTCTGTGTCTCGGCCTCAAGACCCCCAGATTCCTTGTGTATTCATACTCGCTTCTCTGCCCTGCCTCATTGCTCCTTGTTTCATCGCCCCTTTCTGATCTGTGTTTACCATATTTTGTGAGCTGGCCTCTGCCTGAGAAAACACCCTGTGCATTGGAAAATACAGGGAAGAACAGAAAAACATATATTGCACTTCAATAAAATTAAAATTTTGTGTAACAAGTGATTCTATAAACAAACCAGAAACACAGTTCACAGAATGGAAGAGTACACAGGGATACTTAAGTTCATGGAGAGGATGTGTATTATAAGAATAATGTATGTGGATTTCAAAAAACATGTTTTGTACCAAAATAAATCCACCTTTTAATTCCATCTTCCACACATTTTAAAGTACTGTCTTACCTGGAAATTATATACTGATAAGGAATTAGTACCTAGTACATAAAAAGAACAATCACTACCCAACAACAACAAAAAACCTGAATTTAAAATGGAGAAAGGTTCAGAATAAACTTTTCTCCAAAAAACATTCACAGGTTGCAAACAAGTACTTGAAAAGATGCTCAGAATCATTCATCACAAGTCTACTTGTGAATTCACATCCATATAAATTACTATAATAAAAATTAAAAATCATTGGCAAAAATCATGGAGAAATCTGATGTTTGTATATTGCTGGTAGTAATGTACAATAGCACAGCCACTGTGGAAAATAATTTTTCAGATTGTTCTTCAAAATTCAAACAGAATTAGATTGTTCTTCAAAATCCAAACAGAATTGTCATGCAATCATGTCATCCAACTCCTTAGTATATACTCAAAAGAATGACAAACATTTTTATATAGACATTCCTGGATGTGTGATTCTCAGGAGCCAAAAGTGGAAAACAAGCCAAATGTGAATCAGCTGATGAGCTGACGCAGTGGAAATTGGCAACAAAGAGCAAGTTAGTGCTCATCCATCACAAGCTGTTGAGTGATCCATCCATTGATGAAAGATCACATATTAGATGATTTAATTTATATACCATACCTTGGATAGACTAATATATTCAAATGCATTCATGGTTTCCAGGAGTTAGTGGGAGGAAGAAATAGAGAATGATGGATAGTTGGTATAGTTTGCCAATGATATTGTAAAATGCAGTAAAATAATAGAACGTTCCCTTATTGTATTAGAGTGGTCCATTTAAGATTTTTTTTAAATGAGATTATCTAAATAATGCAAATTTAGGTCATATTTATGAATGGAAAATTTTCTGTCATTTGCTTTCCAATTAGAAGTATTAACACTTGGCCAAGACCAAAATTTCTTCTTTTGTAAACACACACAGATTCTACTTTCCTCAACTCTCATTTTAAAAATGTTGTTAAATGCTTTGAGAATGATTTATCACCAACAATCTTGTCTTTATTTCCTTGATGATAAGATGATTTAATGAGAAAGATGAGTTGTCTTGCATAAAATAGAAAAGGCTTTCTTCATGCTTGCTACAAACTTGGAGGTTCTTGGTTTAGAGTCAGATGCTCACATTTACACCAGGTCTTCTGTATCTTTAAATACATGTGCAGATACTTCTTTTTTTATTTTTTGACAGGCAGAGTTAGTGAGAGAGACAGAGACAAAGGTCTTCCTTCCATTGGTTCACCCCTCAAATGGCCACTATGGCCAGTGTGCTGTGCTGATCCAAAACCAGAAGCCAGGTGCTTCCTCCTGGTCTCCCATGTGGGTGCAGGGACCAAGCATTTGGGCCATCCTCCACTGCATTTCTGGGCCACAGCAGAGAGCTGGACTGCAAGAGGAGCAACCAGGACAGAACCAGTGCCCCAACCGGGCCTAGAATCTGGGGTGCTGGAGCCACAGGTGGAGGATTAGCCTAGCGAGCCACAGCACCAGCCTGCAGATACTTCAATAAGTTATTCAGATACATATATACTGGAACTAATAATCCTGGACAAAGCATTTTTAAAATTTTATATATTTTGAGAGACACAGAGAACACACACACACACACACACACAGATGAGAGGGAGGGAGGGAGGTGAGTGGAGAGAGAGAGAGGGAGAGAGAGGGAGAAAGAGAGAGAGAAAAGAGGAAGAGGAAAAAGCATGCAGATAGAGAGCACCCATCAACATGTTCACTACTCCAATGTCAACAGCAGCCAGGTTAGGCCAGGCTGAAGCTGGGAGCCATGAACAACTCCCAAATTAGTGGCAAGATCCACCTACATAAACCATCATCTGCTGAATCCCAAAGTGTGCATTTAGCAGGATGTTGGAATTGGAAATGGTGCTTTACGTGGGTTATGCACATCTCAACAAACTTCTAGAAGTCTGCTTCCATGTAAATGGAATGACATTTTTAAAATTTTTAAATGTAAGACATTTTTAAAAACTTAAGACTCACAAAACATTGTTGAATTATTGATATTAATCCAAGAAGTTGCTAAGCTTTGACCTCATCATGTAACTTGCTTGTGGCCCATTGATTTTTGCAAAAAAAAGAAAATATTTGTAGAACAATTTAAAAAATATTACTGTTACTAAAAAATGTTACTGTTGAGAATGATATTGATAAATCTTTTTATTTATTTGAAAGGCAGAGAGAGAGAGAGAGAGACTTCCATCTGCTGATTCACTTCCCAAATGGCCACAATGGCCAGGGCTGGGCTAAGTCAAAGCCAGGATCCAGGAGCTGCTTCTGGGTCTCCCATGTGTTTGCAGAGGCCCAAGCACTTGGGCCATCCTCCACTGTTCTCCTATGCTATTAGAAGGGAGCTGTATCAG